CTTGATCCATCTTTTAAAATTCTTGACATTCATTTTGTTGTCCTTTTTTTTAGGATGATTTAATAACGTTTGTTGATGCAAAGAGTTTTAAAGCAAGGCATGATGAACAATTTAAATTTGAGGTAAATTTCCTAATTATTTGAATGCAATTCTGACCATATCTGGAAGTATAAGTTTGTTCTTCTCATTGTTATAAACGTATCTGCACGTCATTTCCAATGTTGAACTGCATCAAACTCAAAGAATGGACTATTGTTATGATGTAATCTGAGCCTGTTTAGTAGCCATCTGCTCAAACTTTCCCAATCTTCTCAAGCCAGCTATACAGTTGAGGGATGAGGTGGATTTATTAGTTCACTCAGGAACTGTGCTAGGGCATCAAGTGCAAACAGTACCTTTCTTGCACAGCTACATGTACACTGACTACTTGCCACTGGTCAATAGAGCGGATTTCGTATGAGTGGGACACCGTTACCGCACGGTTACAGCACAGTTACCGGACCTGGCCTGCACAATTTTGGTGAACCAATGGGGCACTAGAATTTGGTTACAGTACGATTACGGTCACAGTACAGTACCGTCCGTTTCCCACTCATACAAAATCTGCTCTATCAAATTGGTTTTCGATCATAAAACCATGATACAAAGTATAGTAAAGTCAAAATGCAAAAAAGTATGATACACAGATAARACTCAATGAAATGAAAAATGAAATGAAATAAAGAGACAAGTAACAAAGGTGCAATGCTGGTATTTCACAGGTTTAAAACCACTCTAACACACYAACCGCATGTTCTGRTAAAATTGCCAGAGTATTTTAATACATATGCATGTTACAGGTGAATGAGATTTCATGGAATAATACAAATGATCTATTTTTCCTTACCAATGGCCATGGCTGCATCAATATCATGAGGTATGACTCTTCTAGTACACAGCTTCCTCGAAAAACCTTGAATTAAGAAYATTGAAGACTACTAGCCTCCTCCATTGGAATCACTTAGAGTGATGGGCTTCCTGTCTTTTKKGGGKAWCCAGAAGAGGAAGAATAGGAGCGAGAGAGGGGAAGCACGATTGKGAGAATCTACGTAGGCGCACTCAGTTGATGAAATATATTCATAAAGATATAATACAAAACACATAATACAATAGAACGAGAAACAATGGAATACAATGCATTTTATGAATACATTACATCAACTGCGTGCTACGTAGGTCACCCCAAGCACGATTTTTCCTTTCTCGTCACTGATCCCGAGTGTTCAAGGTGACTGCTGAAAGTCCAAAGGAGGAAAAAAGAGTTGGCTAGGGAGGAGGCTAGAAGACTACAATACCTGTAAAGTGCATCCCAAGAACGCAATACATTGTTGCATGTTGCAACAAAACTCCATGTTAGTTGCATTGCAAAATGCCATTTCTAAACTCAAATGCTTTCCATTCAAGTTCTTGACTTTTATAGAGCTGGTATAGTCACTCTGGAACAAACAAATAAACAAAAAATAAGGCCCGTTGAACTGCGATAASCAATGCAAGTTATGTTCAATGTTTTCTTAAAAATTGCTGTACTTTACATACACCTTTGGTTTTTCATTTTTGGGGAATTGTTTTTGTGGACACTGGTACATACATGTACTTGTAGTTATATCTGAAGTGCATTAATGCAATGTATTGTTTTCAACATTGAAATTGAATGGAAATTACATAGAATTAAAATAGTCTGGAAAAGCAGACATGCACCGCYTACACTTAAGGCAATCGAGGTGTTTTATATATTTAGACACTACTAAGCGTACACTGTCTTCATTTCTTACTGTAGTTATCCAGATCTGAAACCATTACAAACACTGAATGCTCACCCAGCCAATTGTATTTGTATCAAGTTTGACCCTACAGGAAGGTAATGTTGTATTTTTGCTGTAAGCGTCCTTCTTTGCTCTGTCCCTAGCTCTGCAAGCATCTTCCCTGCCTGTATATACATGTAGCTATTTTAAAAAAAAAGTTGTCAGAGCGTAACAACGATTAAACAACCGAAAGTTAATAAGGGTATTCAATCTTTAAAGTAAAATACTCACTATTATTTTTTTTTTTCGGTCCGGTATCCTAGTTATTCGCACGCTGTGATTGGCTAGTTGCGGTCCGGTTTTTCACGATCTGCCCGGTCCGACGGTATCCTACAGCTAGGCCGCGAGCAAAGTTGCATAAAATACAAATAAAAATAAAAATTTTATTTACCGGCTATAGGTCGGTCCTTATATGAAAACACTGCCCGAAGTCTTGACAGTACGGAACGAGCGCAGCGAGTAAATAACATATATCTGCTTAACAACTGTTACAAATAAAACAAACCACAATAAAAAATCTTTATTTGATGGAAATACCATTATTTAGGCCTTTCATGAGAGAATACTTCCATCAATAATGCACAGTGCAGGGGTGGATACAGGAGAGGTTCTTTGGGTGCGGATGCACCCCTCTTTTTATATATCAGACGTATAAACGGTTTTTCTGCTGTTTATACTCCTGTTGTACTTTTATCAAGAAAACGAGTAGCATACACAACATGTGTCTGCCATTATCAAAACCGGGAATCCTGTGGTGGAGGGAAAAGGTACACTCGCTGACAAACAGCACTCCCCCTCCCCTCCCTCTCCTTATAAAATGCTGGATCCGACCCTGCAGTAACTTTGGTTGTGGATTCGCTCTTGGCTGTTGGCTGTGACAACATTATTTGAAATAGCTATATATTAGACACGTCTGTGCGTTATTTTCACAGGTATTTTGCTACAGGAAGTGCAGACGCACTTGTTAGTTTATGGGATGTCGATGAGCTGGTCTGCGTGAGGACTTTCTCCAGGCTAGAGTAAGTACCTTAACATGAAGTACCTGTCAAATTAGAGTCAATTTCGTTTGAGTGGGAAACATACGGTAGAAATAGCCGACTTGCGAATTACGCATCAATAGTCACATACAAAGGAATCAAGACGAGGCGCCGTGCTTTTTTGTGAAAAATCTATTGTCTTTAGCACGGCGCCTCGTCTTGATTCCTTTGTATGTGACTTTTGACAGTTACCGGACCTGGCCTGCATGAATTTTTGTGAAGCAATGAGACACTAGAATTTGGTTACAGTACGATTACGGTTACAGTACAGTACCGTCCGTTTCCCACTCATACGAAATTGAAGTTGTATGTAAATCCTTAGTCTTCTCCCAAGGCAACTCTTTTTCCCTTTTCAGCCGGGCTTCCTTTGTAACGGTCGAAATGACCGTTAGGGACTAGTGACCCCAGAAAAAGACAGGAAGCCCGTGACTCTTATTGATGTTTGTGGAGAAGGCTTATAAATATATCTTCTTATAAGTAAACTTCTGACGTCATGAATTTAAATCTAACGTGGACTCACGGAGCAACGATAAAAACCGTGTGTAATTTTCTTTAGTCACTTTTCCAGTTTTAATTAAAACTTGCAACCTAAAAAAAAGCGAAAGCTCATTATTGTGAACCCATCTTATAATCGGGAGCGCGCTAGACATGTTGGTCCTCTGCGCAGTTTAAATAGACTATTTACGAGATGCGCAGGCATTCTAAAATACACAGCTGTATCACCTCACGCGATTGGGGACGAACGAGATTTATTTCGGGCGAAAATGAAAGCAAGGTTTGCAACACTGCGCGAAAAGACGCGCGCATCYCTGTTTGTTTGTATCCGCTGGATAAGRTTTTCTCCGGTGGATCCTGCAATACTCCAATTTCAATTTCTGTGTTATCTCTCTGTTAGCCTCAAAACCAAATAACATATTCTTTCATTTCATTGGTAGCCTGAGAAATGCATGGAATTTGTGAAGAGAGAAAATAAAATTGATTTGAAATCTCACACATTTATTCTCACAATTAGGAATATTTTGCGCACAAATGAGGCTAACACAGAACATTGGGGAATTCGAAACTGGATTATTCACCTTCATAGGCCATTTCTTATACAGCATCTTACATTGCATTGTGGTCTAGATTCGCCACAAATATGCTGCCAAATATAATATATTTTGTATTTCAGAAAAGGTCTATGTCGATATGACTGAATATTATTAGTGCCATTTCCCCTCTTTTATCAAATGAACAGTAAGCACAAACTAACCCTCAATGAATTTCGTTTTAGTTGGCCAGTTCGAACGCTAAGCTTTAGYCACGACGGTCAAATGTTGGCTTCAGGATCAGAAGATCTCATTATAGACGTTGTAAGTAWGATTTCTGGTCTTTTTTCATTCAAAACAAAGTTTTATTCGATATGGGTTGGGACCATCCACCAAGCTAAATTTTCCTAAATAAGGGACTGCGCAAAATTTATTCAGGAGGAAGAGTTGAGAATCCAGAAGGGGGGTCATGATCTAATGTTATGTGCTTAAAGAGGGGGGGGGGCAACTTCTAAAATTAAGTCTGAAATTAACTAGAACTTTAATTGGAAACTGAAAAATCAAAGCGGGGCACGATTTGCGACAACTCTTTATTCAAGAATAATATATGAATAAATTGATAATTGAAATAAATAATAATTGAATAAATTGGGGAATTGATTTTTTGATTTTTCTTTTTTCTTTTTAATTTCTAAAAATTGACTTGTTTACAAATGTTGCTTTTTTCGAAAGATGGCACTGCAACAAGACTGCATTTACTTTTTGAAGTGATTAATATCAGCTCGCCTTTGAAGGCTGGTTTACACATTCATGTGAAGTGAACGGAAATCGCGAAAAAGCTACTGATAGACATTTCAATCGTCAATATAAAAGGTCATACATTGCGCATGCTCGTTGACTCCTCTTTAAAATGATTCTCATAGTAATTATTGAATGACTTTTTGATTGGTCATATTTTTCAGGCAATGGTAGAAACTGGGGAACGGATATGTGAAGTTCAGTGCAATTCGCCCACGTTCACCGTCGCTTGGCATCCATCTAAACCTCTACTGGCATTTGCTTGTGATGATAAGGTAGAAAATGTGTTTGTTTATTTGACAGTCGTTTACAGGACTTCGTTTTTAGCTCTTTTGCTCTTCTCCTGCTCCTCATTCTTATTCCTCCTCGTCAAACTGTTTTTCTTCATCGACTCTTTCCTCTACTAGTGCAGCAGCAAATGTCTTTAAGAGCCTCGTTTCCATGTTGTGAAATATATTTCATTCTAAAACTTTCCCCAAAACAGCCCAGTGCGACTTACAAAAGTGCCCATGAACATACTGAAATGCCTGAAATACTGGCAGCCTGAAATTCACACGGACTACACTTGCCCCTGGACTATATCAACCATCATACAATTCCCCTCTCCTTCTACTTCTTCTTCTCCTTCACATCAGTTTTCTTATTTCTCCTTCTCCTTATCACCCTCGTTCTACTGCTCCTGATGCTCCTGCACTTTCTCCTCCTTCGTCTCCGCCTCCTTCGTCTCCGCCTCCTTCTCCTCCTCTTTCTAGTTTTTCTCCTTGTTATAGTTCTCCTTGCATTTGTTCTTCTTGTCCTTGTCCTTCGCCTATTCCTCCTTTTCCTGCTTCACCTCGGCTTTATAATTCTCCTCTTTCGTCTATCCTCTTTCACTCGGCTACTGGTCGTCTTGATCCTTCTCCTTTTTCCTTTTTCTCTCATTCCTTATCTCAGCCATCTCCTGTCTCATTCACTTAACTTTCTTCTATTATTCTTCCATTGTTCTTATTCTTCCATTTCTTCTTCTCAGGCTAGTAGYGAGGTATTGGGATCAGGGATAAGMATCGGTTTTKGGGCTATTTTGGGATCAGGGATAAGCATCGGTTTTTGGGCTATTTTGGATTCAGGGATCAGGATTTGGGCTCAGGTTCCGGGTCAAATGGATTTAACCTGAGATCAAAGGTTTTTCAACTTGGATCGGGATCAATGATTTTTTTTYYCAACGATTCTGTAAGGGGATCAGGGATCAARAYGTACGGAGTTTTGGGATCTGGATCACGTTTTTAGTCTTTTGATCCGGATCAACAGCAAAAAAATATATACCTCGTTACTAGCCTATCTTCTTGTCTTTCATGCTTCCCCCATTCTCATTTTTCCTAGGATAAACACGATCGAGATGCGGGGACAGTACGACTGTTCGGTTTACCAAATAACTCTTAGTACGACCGAAGTGTGCCATAAAGTCCGTCTGAACAATACAGATCAGGAGATGGTCGGATTGACCGCCACAGAGGCCTCAGCCCACAATTTTATCTTAGCTAAAAAGATAAATGATGCGGTCGAATTTTTGAGAATATAGACAAAAAAGACTCGTCTGTAGGTGTTTTTATATATATGTCAGTGTTGCCGGAATAACAAGTATTTTCGAGCATTTACTTTATTTTCTTTGCCATAAATGCACAAAAACGGCTCCAATGGATTTGAAAACAATATATTTTTTTGTTATCTCAGACGTAATTTTTTTTCTTTTTCCTCGTATATTGAAAGTATTTGACCAGACCTGCTATACAATGRCAGATAGTCTGTAATGACTTATAAAAAGGTGGGCGATTAAGCAGTTTTAAGTAGTTCATTATCGTTGATTTACTCAGTTTATTTTCCTCAAAAAYACAAAGRGGAATGGAAGTATTCAGTTGTGAACCGCCCACTTTTTTATATATTCAAAGTACTGGAAGGCGACACTGTCAACATACAAATTTATCTTTGTCTGTGCCTTTGTCTTTSTAATGTGGTTGCTATTAAACAAAGGTTTCACTCTAATCCTTTGAATGTTGTTGGCACGCCAATTATCACTTCAGACGACTTGTCAAATACAAGTCCATTGCCGTGTCTTGTCAATTGTTATCGCTATACTCGTGTCACGCGTCGTGTTTGTGAGTTTGCCCGCGTCTCAACTCGTCTCAAGAGGATGAAGCTCTTAAAAACCCAGGCATTTCTCTCTTCTTCAAGTCATGAACAGACGTAGACTTCATCGGTCAATKTTTCGCCTGTTCGCGTCGTTTTGTTCACTTTCGTTGTTTTGCTCGTTTTATGTTTTTTACGGGAATATTCGCATAGCTAACGACCTCACTGAAGTCACCAATTATGAAAACAACAGGAATAGAAACAGGCGGCATGCAAGGCGTTTTTCCAGTGAAACATTCGAGGAAAATGCTCCTGTTGTTCAGGGAAACATCAGGGATACGTCAAAAGACAAACGGMGAGCTTTACAAGAGTTTTTTGAGCTGAAAATTGYCGACAAAGATGTCAAAGTCACGCAAATAACACAAGGTTATTTCGGTTGTCCAGAAATCCGTAATACAAGGATCTTCGATGAAGTTGGCCATGGATATACTAAGTCCGTTCAGAAAGGTCTTATAGCTGGGAAATACGTAGCTGTGAAAAGCGTTGCGGAAAGTAGTAAAGATTTTCAGCATTGTTTGACCAATGGACGTAACTACACTCGATCTCACTGCTTCAACCTAGTCAAATACAAGCTCGCCAAAGAGATCATTTTGCTTCAACAATTGAAGCACCAAAATATAATCAAGGTCAGTAGATAATATACTAAATTTATTGAAATAAAAAGCTTTATTCCTATGGCTATATCAATGTGTTTTTTGGTGCTTTTTGTAAATGTATTTTTTTGCTATCTGTTTAATGTTTGTTTTCAGTCTCTCAACTCCAAGGAATTTCCTCAATGTGATGTGATCTTTTGTGTTTGTCAATTCGTAACCTAGATCACCGCCTACCTATCGATTAATCTTCAAAATTACAAATGTTTTAAAGAAATAAGAAAAGCGATCTCAGCTGGCAGTCTGTGTGCTTTTTCAATGAATTCATAACTTGTCACAATTGTATGTCATATTTTTGGAGCATTCAAGTGCCAGGTTGTGATCTCTCAGACTTTGTGGTACCAAATCTCCAAAACAACGTACAATATTTCAAGTGCTTGGAAAAATCCTTTGAAGTGCATTGCTTTTATCCGGAAAGCAACTGTCAGTCTTAAAATGTTAAGACCAAGAGATAGATCAGATATGCCCATCTACTATTTCAATTTAGTCTATATATACATAGTCATTAAGCCATTCAGATTCCTGACGAATTTCAGAGTGAGAGGTATATTTGATCTCAAGAAAAACAGATCTTAAAAGCTTTGTTTAGCTAAAAAAACATCAGATTGACTGAAAACGCASTATTGCACAGTCGTTAGACACGCAATGGTGATTTTAGTTGAGAAAATATTCCATAAAGTCAGTTAAATCAGATTCTTGAATTTGCTTATTTGAAACGTAAGTGATTTTTGTTTATTTTTCTACGATAACTAAATTGATTGTCATTTTAGCTTAGTAGTAATTGATTAGCTGTGAATATCGTACCTCCCATTGAGAAAGAGGAAAGTCAAGTCACGCTATTAATTTTGAATGTATCATATTCATTTTTTGGAAAAATTGAGAAAAATTGTAACTACTAGCGAATATCCGATTTGGAAACTACCTAAAAATTGATATAACAGATGCTAGGTTGCAAAATAAAAATGGCCAACAATTTTCAACTGCATTAACATAAAATCTATGAAATAACTGGCACATTTCGTTGATTACTAAATAATAAATATTGTCTTTTTAGCTGCTTGGATTTTGTTGGCAAAATGAAGTAAATTCAAACAACATCAAAGAACGAGGGCTTTCCATGATTACAGAACTTGGTGAACCTTTAAATGTTTTACAACTTGTGCAGACTCCTTGGCAAGACCGCCTAAGGGTAAAGTTACTTTGTCAATACATCTACATGTATAATGCATTTTCGTTCATATTTCCATTTTGTGTCTACAATGGCCTGTGGCAGCGCGCGATATTTTTGGCGGGGAAAAAAGAAGCGCGCGTGATGTTATATTTTTGGCGGGAAAAAGAAGCGCGCTCGCGTGCTCGTTCGCGAAAGTCGTTAATACTCCGCCTTAACATTAATCAGATATTGTAATCTTTGGGTAATCTGGTGAACTATATTTATAATGCGACGTTAGGAGATAAAAATGAAAGCTAATATCGAATCCATTCTTTTGTCTGAGAAATATTATTTCGACAGTATTTATATTTCATAATTCTTGGAAATGTGTTGACCAATATTAAAGTTGTCATTGTTTTTCCCGCAAGATTGCATTTTGCATTTTTCACAATATAGTGAGATAAGTTAGCGTTAGGTGAATGGACCAGASGATGAATTAAAGCTAAATATAACTGAACAAACATGGCCAGCTCAGCAAGTCCCTCAAGTCCCTCTTTACTCCGACGAAGAATTAACGTCCGAAACGTCAGTTAGTTATTTCACCTACTTATTTACGGTGTTARATTTATCTTTTTACWMAACTTTCTTTAGAAACACCGACGCAGCTCACACTAGTTTACCGCTAGTTCCCACCATACTTCATACTAAGTCCCATGGCGTCTTTACATCAATGTCGAACATGAGATAATTTATTAAGGTTATCATTGGGGTTTCAAAAATRCCCCACATTCGTCTAAAAAATCAAAAGTTTTATCRRACTTGCAATTATTATTTTGCTTCCTTCCCAGGAAGTACTGTTGAATCGTTTAGCCACGGTTGACCAGACTTTCAATGTCTTACGTCAAATAACCCTCAAAGCTGAGATATCTCCAGACAAGCCAGATAAAAATAATCGGCAAACCCACAAATGCGTCGATGGAATCGCCATTTCGCAGCTGAAAAACATATCACTTTTATATTACTGACTTTGGTACGAGTCGCYCAAGGCTAGAGGAGCGTTATGATACGTTATAATCGACTTTTTAAATCTTAATTACTTTCTTTTTGCTCAAAAACTATTTATTTATATTACCAAAAGCTAAAATATTAATACGAAAACGTATACATTTTGCATTGCGTAAAAGAATGATTTGTGCAAACAGCTGGGGACTAGACGTTTTTTCGTCGTTTCTCTTTCCATAATACGTTTGACCTAGGTTGTCATTCACGTCGGTACTAAGTGGTGATGACAAGTCCAAAATGGCTGCACATATGGAACAGTTTAATTGTAATAAATGCAGGACAAATAGATGACTTTAAATGCTTCCCTTTTTAAAAGCGGATATAAAARCCATTTTATTAATCAATGGGGTCCGTCCAGATGTTCAACTGTTTATAGAAGGGGAGGGGAGGCTCATTATCTGGTACRATCTTGGCAAGAGGATGTCTGGCATTTTAATRAGGGTGTGCCAAACATTTCGGTGCGATTGACCTGACTCGTCCCCAGTCGTTCTCCTCTATCTCGCGCGCGAAAAGCATCAASGGAAGAAGGAAAAAAGAGAAACGTCGTCTCCGTCTCTTCTCCTTCCCATGAAGCTTTTCGAGACACTAGAAAAATGGCRCGACATACGACTGGGGACGAGTCAGGCGATTGACGTCTCATCTAGAAAACTCACACGGCAAATTGCGTGACACAACTAGTGATGGTTCAAAACGAAGTTTTGGTAATARTGGGACTCTTTCTGATCAATCAACAGTTGAAAAACGGTCCCCTCCCCCAATATCTCTCCTCTTTTCTGCCACGACTGACAAAACTCAAATCCAGTAAATTTAAGTGCATATATGACGAATAATTTAGTTATCCAAGGGAGCATGCCTCTTTAATTATTCCTGTAAAAAAAACATTTAAGAATTGACAGGCGTTCCTCGTTTCTAGCCAACTAGTTTCAACTACTACTACTAGTTTATGATAATCAAAGTATTAGAAATAATCAATTTAATATAGAATTAATTTAGTGGAAAGTCTTTGATACATAACTGCCTCACGACAACCGTCCAGTCTATATGCGCCCTCTTATACCATTATACCACGGAGTTTCGGATGCGATTTCTCGGAAGATTCGCTAAGTGTAAGAGAATCCGGAATCCATTAAAAAAAAACACAGCTTTGGAATCCGGAATCCCTATCCTGGAATCCGGAATCCAAATATTTGGAATCCAGAAACTGAATATTTAGGAAGATTGCTTTTATCGGTGAAAATCTAGCTGTCTAGAGATGGAAACGTACATCCAACTGATATGCTGTACTTTGCTGTACTTCATATACGTCGCTTGTTTGTCAGCGTGCGACAAATTTTGGTGACAATGCAAATTATTGACGCGCTAGCCTGCGTTGCCGGCGTCCTGCACTGGCTACTGACACGCTGAATATAAAATTTTCAAAAAAAAAAACCACTGAAAATCACGCCATTTATTATCCGCCGAATTCAAAACAAAAATTCTTTGGAATCCAGAGTCCCAAGGCTTGGAATCCGAAAGCCAATGTTTCGGAATCCGGAATCCAGTGCTTGGAACCCGGAATCCACTAGTTCTCTGGATTCTCTTACATGGGGCGAGAAGATAACATGATTATAAATCTCATGAATTAGGCTCATTAGGAATGCCATAAATAGTAGACAAAGACGATTTGAATAGTAGCCTGCGTAGCGGCTCACGCAGGCTATTTGAATAGCTTTTATTTCAGCAACCCGTTTTTTCTTTCAAGTGTTCCCAGGTGTCACGTAATACACTAACAGTGTAATAATTTCACTTCAGATATGTCTAGGACTGGCTCGATTAATAGCCTATCTACAAGATTCACCTATAGGCTCTCTCATCATTAGAGACTTCAGACATCACCAGTTTGTGCTTGTCRGCGGTGAGATCAAATTAACAGACCTGGATGACGTCGACAACGAACAAAAACCTTGTACTACGGATGCGCAATGCATTGTGGGGACAAAAAGTTTGAACTGGACGTTACCGTGCGTCAGCGGTTACTGCGTGGATTATAATTCTGYTTATAATTTTATTAATATATTCCGTTATTTTGTACAACATATTCTTGTCCCTGAGTCACCTCAAAGGTTAACGGGACAACTTGTCGACATAGTAAGTAAAGCACAGAACTTACAGATTTCCAGCGATAAACTTGTAGAAATGTTGGAGAGAGTAGTWCAAAGGTTGAGGGATGGCGACCATATTGAATTTGGTAAGTGTGTTGTGGCTTTAAGCGCTTTGTAGTTGTCACCAATAGTCCCCTGGGGTTTTATGGTTTTATGGGTGACCTGCAATGCATTGTGGGTGATCTGCAATGCATTGTGGGTGACTTGCGTATGATTCATTGCGTATGCTGTATATGATGTAAGGCTTCTTCTCTTTTGACGTATAGAAATACGAGATACATATAACCTCGAGTTTTCGCGCTAGTTTGGCGTAGGTTTTTATGACCTGTGTTTTGTTGCGCGATATGTTNAACCCATCTTATAATCGGGAGCGCGCTAGACATGTTGGTCCTCTGCGCAGTTTAAATAGACTATTTACGAGATGCGCAGGCATTCTAAAATACACAGCTGTATCACCTCACGCGATTGGGGACGAACGAGATTTATTTCGGGCGAAAATGAAAGCAAGGTTTGCAACACTGCGCGAAAAGACGCGCGCATCYCTGTTTGTTTGTATCCGCTGGATAAGRTTTTCTCCGGTGGATCCTGCAATACTCCAATTTCAATTTCTGTGTTATCTCTCTGTTAGCCTCAAAACCAAATAACATATTCTTTCATTTCATTGGTAGCCTGAGAAATGCATGGAATTTGTGAAGAGAGAAAATAAAATTGATTTGAAATCTCACACATTTATTCTCACAATTAGGAATATTTTGCGCACAAATGAGGCTAACACAGAACATTGGGGAATTCGAAACTGGATTATTCACCTTCATAGGCCATTTCTTATACAGCATCTTACATTGCATTGTGGTCTAGATTCGCCACAAATATGCTGCCAAATATAATATATTTTGTATTTCAGAAAAGGTCTATGTCGATATGACTGAATATTATTAGTGCCATTTCCCCTCTTTTATCAAATGAACAGTAAGCACAAACTAACCCTCAATGAATTTCGTTTTAGTTGGCCAGTTCGAACGCTAAGCTTTAGYCACGACGGTCAAATGTTGGCTTCAGGATCAGAAGATCTCATTATAGACGTTGTAAGTAWGATTTCTGGTCTTTTTTCATTCAAAACAAAGTTTTATTCGATATGGGTTGGGACCATCCACCAAGCTAAATTTTCCTAAATAAGGGACTGCGCAAAATTTATTCAGGAGGAAGAGTTGAGAATCCAGAAGGGGGGTCATGATCTAATGTTATGTGCTTAAAGAGGGGGGGGGGCAACTTCTAAAATTAAGTCTGAAATTAACTAGAACTTTAATTGGAAACTGAAAAATCAAAGCGGGGCACGATTTGCGACAACTCTTTATTCAAGAATAATATATGAATAAATTGATAATTGAAATAAATAATAATTGAATAAATTGGGGAATTGATTTTTTGATTTTTCTTTTTTCTTTTTAATTTCTAAAAATTGACTTGTTTACAAATGTTGCTTTTTTCGAAAGATGGCACTGCAACAAGACTGCATTTACTTTTTGAAGTGATTAATATCAGCTCGCCTTTGAAGGCTGGTTTACACATTCATGTGAAGTGAACGGAAATCGCGAAAAAGCTACTGATAGACATTTCAATCGTCAATATAAAAGGTCATACATTGCGCATGCTCGTTGACTCCTCTTTAAAATGATTCTCATAGTAATTATTGAATGACTTTTTGATTGGTCATATTTTTCAGGCAATGGTAGAAACTGGGGAACGGATATGTGAAGTTCAGTGCAATTCGCCCACGTTCACCGTCGCTTGGCATCCATCTAAACCTCTACTGGCATTTGCTTGTGATGATAAGGTAGAAAATGTGTTTGTTTATTTGACAGTCGTTTACAGGACTTCGTTTTTAGCTCTTTTGCTCTTCTCCTGCTCCTCATTCTTATTCCTCCTCGTCAAACTGTTTTTCTTCATCGACTCTTTCCTCTACTAGTGCAGCAGCAAATGTCTTTAAGAGCCTCGTTTCCATGCTGTGGAATATATGTCATTCTAAAATTTCCCCCAAAACAGCCCGGTGTGTCTTACAAAAGTGCCAACAATAATTGTTAGGTCCCATGAACATACTGAAATGCCTGAAATACTGGCAGCCTGAAATTCACACGGACTACACTTGCCCCTGGACTATATCAACCATCATACAATTCCCCTCTCCTTCTACTTCTTCTTCTCCTTCACATCAGTTTTCTTATTTCTCCTTCTCCTTATCACCCTCGTTCTACTGCTCCTGATGCTCCTGCACTTTCTCCTCCTTCGTCTCCGCCTCCTTCGTCTCCGCCTCCTTCTCCTCCTCTTTCTAGTTTTTCTCCTTGTTATAGTTCTCCTTGCATTTGTTCTTCTTGTCCTTGTCCTTCGCCTATTCCTCCTTTTCCTGCTTCACCTCGGCTTTATAATTCTCCTCTTTCGTCTCTCCTCTTTCACTCGGCTACTTTTCGTCTTGATCCTTCTCCTTTTTCTTTTTTCTCTCATTCCTTATCTCAGCCATCTCCTGTCTCATTCACTTAACTTTCTTCTATTATTCTTCCATTGTTCTTATTCTTCCATTTCTTCTTCTCAGGCTAGTAGYGAGGTATTGGGATCAGGGATAAGMATCGGTTTTKGGGCTATTTTGGGATCAGGGATAAGCATCGGTTTTTGGGCTATTTTGGATTCAGGGATCAGGATTTGGGCTCAGGTTCCGGGTCAAATGGATTTAACCTGAGATCAAAGGTTTTTCAACTTGGATCGGGATCAATGATTTTTTTTYYCAACGATTCTGTAAGGGGATCAGGGATCAARAYGTACGGAGTTTTGGGATCTGGATCACGTTTTTAGTCTTTTGATCCGGATCAACAGCAAAAAAATATATACCTCGTTACTAGCCTATCTTCTTGTCTTTCATGCTTCCCCCATTCTCATTTTTCCTAGGATAAACACGATCGAGATGCGGGGACAGTACGACTGTTCGGTTTACCAAATAACTCTTAGTACGACCGAAGTGTGCCATAAAGTCCGTCTGAACAATACAGATCAGGAGATGGTCGGATTGACCGCCACAGAGGCCTCAGCCCACAATTTTATCTTAGCTAAAAAGATAAATGATGCGGTCGAATTTTTGAGAATATAGACAAAAAAGACTCGTCTGTAGGTGTTTTTATATATATGTCAGTGTTGCCGGAATAACAAGTATTTTCGAGCATTTACTTTATTTTCTTTGCCATAAATGCACAAAAACGGCTCCAATGGATTTGAAAACAATATATTTTTTTGTTATCTCAGACGTAATTTTTTTTCTTTTTCCTCGTATATTGAAAGTATTTGACCAGACCTGCTATACAATGRCAGATAGTCTGTAATGACTTATAAAAAGGTGGGCGATTAAGCAGTTTTAAGTAGTTCATTATCGTTGATTTACTCAGTTTATTTTCCTCAAAAAYACAAAGRGGAATGGAAGTATTCAGTTGTGAACCGCCCACTTTTTTATATATTCAAAGTACTGGAAGGCGACACTGTCAACATACAAATTTATCTTTGTCTGTGCCTTTGTCTTTSTAATGTGGTTGCTATTAAACAAAGGTTTCACTCTAATCCTTTGAATGTTGTTGGCACGCCAATTATCACTTCAGACGACTTGTCAAATACAAGTCCATTGCCGTGTCTTGTCAATTGTTATCGCTATACTCGTGTCACGCGTCGTGTTTGTGAGTTTGCCCGCGTCTCAACTCGTCTCAAGAGGATGAAGCTCTTAAAAACCCAGGCATTTCTCTCTTCTTCAAGTCATGAACAGACGTAGACTTCATCGGTCAATKTTTCGCCTGTTCGCGTCGTTTTGTTCACTTTCGTTGTTTTGCTCGTTTTATGTTTTTTACGGGAATATTCGCATAGCTAACGACCTCACTGAAGTCACCAATTATGAAAACAACAGGAATAGAAACAGGCGGCATGCAAGGCGTTTTTCCAGTGAAACATTCGAGGAAAATGCTCCTGTTGTTCAGGGAAACATCAGGGATACGTCAAAAGACAAACGGMGAGCTTTACAAGAGTTTTTTGAGCTGAAAATTGYCGACAAAGATGTCAAAGTCACGCAAATAACACAAGGTTATTTCGGTTGTCCAGAAATCCGTAATACAAGGATCTTCGATGAAGTTGGCCATGGATATACTAAGTCCGTTCAGAAAGGTCTTATAGCTGGGAAATACGTAGCTGTGAAAAGCGTTGCGGAAAGTAGTAAAGATTTTCAGCATTGTTTGACCAATGGACGTAACTACACTCGATCTCACTGCTTCAACCTAGTCAAATACAAGCTCGCCAAAGAGATCATTTTGCTTCAACAATTGAAGCACCAAAATATAATCAAGGTCAGTAGATAATATACTAAATTTATTGAAATAAAAAGCTTTATTCCTATGGCTATATCAATGTGTTTTTTGGTGCTTTTTGTAAATGTATTTTTTTGCTATCTGTTTAATGTTTGTTTTCAGTCTCTCAACTCCAAGGAATTTCCTCAATGTGATGTGATCTTTTGTGTTTGTCAATTCGTAACCTAGATCACCGCCTACCTATCGATTAATCTTCAAAATTACAAATGTTTTAAAGAAATAAGAAAAGCGATCTCAGCTGGCAGTCTGTGTGCTTTTTCAATGAATTCATAACTTGTCACAATTGTATGTCATATTTTTGGAGCATTCAAGTGCCAGGTTGTGATCTCTCAGACTTTGTGGTACCAAATCTCCAAAACAACGTACAATATTTCAAGTGCTTGGAAAAATCCTTTGAAGTGCATTGCTTTTATCCGGAAAGCAACTGTCAGTCTTAAAATGTTAAGACCAAGAGATAGATCAGATATGCCCATCTACTATTTCAATTTAGTCTATATATACATAGTCATTAAGCCATTCAGATTCCTGACGAATTTCAGAGTGAGAGGTATATTTGATCTCAAGAAAAACAGATCTTAAAAGCTTTGTTTAGCTAAAAAAACATCAGATTGACTGAAAACGCASTATTGCACAGTCGTTAGACACGCAATGGTGATTTTAGTTGAGAAAATATTCCATAAAGTCAGTTAAATCAGATTCTTGAATTTGCTTATTTGAAACGTAAGTGATTTTTGTTTATTTTTCTACGATAACTAAATTGATTGTCATTTTAGCTTAGTAGTAATTGATTAGCTGTGAATATCGTACCTCCCATTGAGAAAGAGGAAAGTCAAGTCACGCTATTAATTTTGAATGTATCATATTCATTTTTTGGAAAAATTGAGAAAAATTGTAACTACTAGCGAATATCCGATTTGGAAACTACCTAAAAATTGATATAACAGATGCTAGGTTGCAAAATAAAAATGGCCAACAATTTTCAACTGCATTAACATAAAATCTATGAAATAACTGGCACATTTCGTTGATTACTAAATAATAAATATTGTCTTTTTAGCTGCTTGGATTTTGTTGGCAAAATGAAGTAAATTCAAACAACATCAAAGAACGAGGGCTTTCCATGATTACAGAACTTGGTGAACCTTTAAATGTTTTACAACTTGTGCAGACTCCTTGGCAAGACCGCCTAAGGGTAAAGTTACTTTGTCAATACATCTACATGTATAATGCATTTTCGTTCATATTTCCATTTTGTGTCTACAATGGCCTGTGGCAGCGCGCGATATTTTTGGCGGGGAAAAAAGAAGCGCGCGTGATGTTATATTTTTGGCGGGAAAAAGAAGCGCGCTCGCGTGCTCGTTCGCGAAAGTCGTTAATACTCCGCCTTAACATTAATCAGATATTGTAATCTTTGGGTAATCTGGTGAACTATATTTATAATGCGACGTTAGGAGATAAAAATGAAAGCTAATATCGAATCCATTCTTTTGTCTGAGAAATATTATTTCGACAGTATTTATATTTCATAATTCTTGGAAATGTGTTGACCAATATTAAAGTTGTCATTGTTTTTCCCGCAAGATTGCATTTTGCATTTTTCACAATATAGTGAGATAAGTTAGCGTTAGGTGAATGGACCAGASGATGAATTAAAGCTAAATATAACTGAACAAACATGGCCAGCTCAGCAAGTCCCTCAAGTCCCTCTTTACTCCGACGAAGAATTAACGTCCGAAACGTCAGTTAGTTATTTCACCTACTTATTTACGGTGTTARATTTATCTTTTTACWMAACTTTCTTTAGAAACACCGACGCAGCTCACACTAGTTTACCGCTAGTTCCCACCATACTTCATACTAAGTCCCATGGCGTCTTTACATCAATGTCGAACATGAGATAATTTATTAAGGTTATCATTGGGGTTTCAAAAATRCCCCACATTCGTCTAAAAAATCAAAAGTTTTATCRRACTTGCAATTATTATTTTGCTTCCTTCCCAGGAAGTACTGTTGAATCGTTTAGCCACGGTTGACCAGACTTTCAATGTCTTACGTCAAATAACCCTCAAAGCTGAGATATCTCCAGACAAGCCAGATAAAAATAATCGGCAAACCCACAAATGCGTCGATGGAATCGCCATTTCGCAGCTGAAAAACATATCACTTTTATATTACTGACTTTGGTACGAGTCGCYCAAGGCTAGAGGAGCGTTATGATACGTTATAATCGACTTTTTAAATCTTAATTACTTTCTTTTTGCTCAAAAACTATTTATTTATATTACCAAAAGCTAAAATATTAATACGAAAACGTATACATTTTGCATTGCGTAAAAGAATGATTTGTGCAAACAGCTGGGGACTAGACGTTTTTTCGTCGTTTCTCTTTCCATAATACGTTTGACCTAGGTTGTCATTCACGTCGGTACTAAGTGGTGATGACAAGTCCAAAATGGCTGCACATATGGAACAGTTTAATTGTAATAAATGCAGGACAAATAGATGACTTTAAATGCTTCCCTTTTTAAAAGCGGATATAAAARCCATTTTATTAATCAATGGGGTCCGTCCAGATGTTCAACTGTTTATAGAAGGGGAGGGGAGGCTCATTATCTGGTACRATCTTGGCAAGAGGATGTCTGGCATTTTAATRAGGGTGTGCCAAACATTTCGGTGCGATTGACCTGACTCGTCCCCAGTCGTTCTCCTCTATCTCGCGCGCGAAAAGCATCAASGGAAGAAGGAAAAAAGAGAAACGTCGTCTCCGTCTCTTCTCCTTCCCATGAAGCTTTTCGAGACACTAGAAAAATGGCRCGACATACGACTGGGGACGAGTCAGGCGATTGACGTCTCATCTAGAAAACTCACACGGCAAATTGCGTGACACAACTAGTGATGGTTCAAAACGAAGTTTTGGTAATARTGGGACTCTTTCTGATCAATCAACAGTTGAAAAACGGTCCCCTCCCCCAATATCTCTCCTCTTTTCTGCCACGACTGACAAAACTCAAATCCAGTAAATTTAAGTGCATATATGACGAATAATTTAGTTATCCAAGGGAGCATGCCTCTTTAATTATTCCTGTAAAAAAAACATTTAAGAATTGACAGGCGTTCCTCGTTTCTAGCCAACTAGTTTCAACTACTACTACTAGTTTATGATAATCAAAGTATTAGAAATAATCAATTTAATATAGAATTAATTTAGTGGAAAGTCTTTGATACATAACTGCCTCACGACAACCGTCCAGTCTATATGCGCCCTCTTATACCATTATACCACGGAGTTTCGGATGCGATTTCTCGGAAGATTCGCTAAGTGTAAGAGAATCCGGAATCCATTAAAAAAAAACACAGCTTTGGAATCCGGAATCCCTATCCTGGAATCCGGAATCCAAATATTTGGAATCCAGAAACTGAATATTTAGGAAGATTGCTTTTATCGGTGAAAATCTAGCTGTCTAGAGATGGAAACGTACATCCAACTGATATGCTGTACTTTGCTGTACTTCATATACGTCGCTTGTTTGTCAGCGTGCGACAAATTTTGGTGACAATGCAAATTATTGACGCGCTAGCCTGCGTTGCCGGCGTCCTGCACTGGCTACTGACACGCTGAATATAAAATTTTCAAAAAAAAAAACCACTGAAAATCACGCCATTTATTATCCGCCGAATTCAAAACAAAAATTCTTTGGAATCCAGAGTCCCAAGGCTTGGAATCCGAAAGCCAATGTTTCGGAATCCGGAATCCAGTGCTTGGAACCCGGAATCCACTAGTTCTCTGGATTCTCTTACATGGGGCGAGAAGATAACATGATTATAAATCTCATGAATTAGGCTCATTAGGAATGCCATAAATAGTAGACAAAGACGATTTGAATAGCTTTTATTTCAGCAACCCGTTTTTTCTTTCAAGTGTCCCCAGGTGTCACGTAATACACTAACAGTGTAATAATTTCACTTCAGATATGTCTAGGACTGGCTCGATTAATAGCCTATCTACAAGATTCACCTATAGGCTCTCTCATCATTAGAGACTTCAGACATCACCAGTTTGTGCTTGTCGGCGGTGAGATCAAATTAACAGACCTGGATGACGTCGACAACGAACAAAAACCTTGTACTACGGATGCGCAATGCATTGTGGGGACAAAAAGTTTGAACTGGACGTTACCGTGCGTCAGCGGTTACTGCGTGGATTATAATTCTGYTTATAATTTTATTAATATATTCCGTTATTTTGTACAACATATTCTTGTCCCTGAGTCACCTCAAAGGTTAACGGGACAACTTGTCGACATAGTAAGTAAAGCACAGAACTTACAGATTTCCAGCGATAAACTTGTAGAAATGTTGGAGAGAGTAGTTCAAAGGTTGAGGGATGGCGACCATATTGAATTTGGTAAGTGTGTTGTGGCTTTAAGCGCTTTGTAGTTGTCACCAATAGTCCCCTGGGGTTTTATGGTTTTATGGGTGACCTGCAATGCATTGTGGGTGATCTGCAATGCATTGTGGGTGACTTGCGTATGATTCATTGCGTATGCTGTATATGATGTAAAGCTTCTTCTCTTTTGACGTATAGAAATACGAGATACATATGACCTCGAGTTTTCGCGCAGCTTGTCGCTAGTTTGGCGTAGGTGTTTATGACCTGTGTTTTGTTGCGCGATATGTTGCCAGCCATCAGACGGCAAGCAACATCATAGGCCGCCCAACTATTGCTTGAGAGAAAGAAGAGAACCAATGCGCTCGCTTTTCTACGCTAGTGCTGTTATTGGCGCGCGGTCTTAGCTAAATGCGGGCTATCTGTAGTATTAAGTCAGTGATCCCTTTCCTCGCGGAATCAAAAACTAGTTTGTGACAGACTTGTTTTTGATCCCAAGGGATCATGTATGACGTAGCACCACACAGGTAATCCACAAAGCGCGCGCTCTGATTACATAAAAGCGTGCGCAATCGTTCTGTCTTTTTCTCAAGCAATAGTTGGGCGGCCTATGGAGACATGGACGAAAAGCCTGACAAGTGACAATTTTGCGCTACAAGTTAAGTTGTTTTGTTCCTGGTATTTTTTGGGTTTTAACCTTAATTGCACTAAAACCTCTATTGTTTCTTTGAGTTTTTGAACTACATAATAGCTTTGCTTTTATAAAAGTATATTTTAWTTAACACTTATTTACTGGAACCGAGGGAAACAGCATGTTTTGTGGTCCCGAGACCGCTGATGCTTCCCGAAGCGAAGCTGAGGGAAACATCAGCGGTCGAGGGACCGCAAAACATGCTGTTTCCCGAGGTTTCCAGTAAATAAGTGCTTTATTATCATATCAAGTGTCAAAGAGAGCAAAAAAAAGTAAATAAATGAATTGTTTTTATTAAAGATTTTAATAAAATAACTGAAAAATGTCAATACAGGTCAATACAAATAGTCACTAAAATCAATCAATGTAATAACACAATGAATACTAATTTAACTATTTGTAGTCGAAATTAAATGTTTCATAACAATTTTGGAATTGCAATGTCCGTAAATGTGACATTTTCACGACACTGAAGATTGTTTTTCTGCGACTTTGTACTTATTGACGGTCCACAACATATTATTGACCGCTGGTTGACAGTTGCCKGGAAACAGTAAAATTTTGTGACTTTCACGTGGTACACTCTCGACCAATAAGATACTAGGAAAAGTGAACTTTGACACTTGATATATAATAAATGCTTTTATTTTACAATCACTATCTAAAAAATAATTGGCCGAGAAACTCTAATCGTTTGTTTTGTTTTGCAATTGATGTTTTGTTGAAAGTTGCTGTCTGATATGTTCAAAAATCAAAGATGGTCACTTATTTTCGCACAAAGGTTGTCGGATACATGTTGGCCTTTAACGATATGTTTTCCCACGTATTTAGACTCGCTTTCCATACATGAGTTYACCATGATCCCCGAGGCTGACTTCCCTGACTTGCACGACTACAACTGCGACGATTCACGAACGCAAACGGCGTGTGAGTTGAACGTTTACAGTCTACGCGAAGCCAAGTACGTCTGYAGTCGAGATAGTCATTGTCTAGCGTTCGTAGTCACACGAGTGAAGACRTGGGTTGGTAAGTATATGAGCTGAGTATAAGTATAATGCTGAAAAGTTCCCAGTACAGTAAAAATCCCCATGAGGATATTACATGGACGCGTGATAATGTGGATTTTAGCTTTAGAGGTCGTGCTACATTTTCACTTCCAAAATTCCRGGACTTTTCGAGTGCTAAGCACAAAAATGCGATTTTCAAGAACTATTTTTTTTATGTTTKCGAACATTTCAATCCAAAAGCTAAACAGCAACATGTCAATTTCATCAGATTCAAGGAGTTTTCAAGCTCGAGTTTTAGCGTTTTTCCGCCTACTTTCAAGGGCTTTTCAATTCCAGTACTTTTCCTAATCGGCTAACCCGTTGCTATAAACGTTTCCAYCCAATTCAAACTACCCGGGAGTAAGTTTCATTCTTCGTTGTATTTTCATTTCACAGTTGGATTCTTAGAAACAAAAGTTCTTTTTCACACAGAGTGGTAACGTACATAGCAACGCGTTAGCCAATAAGGTCTATATTCTGTATGTGTATATTAGTTTTAAGCCAAATTCCACAGAAGAAATATTGTCAAACATTTTATCAAAATGGCCGCCATATTGTCGTCGAATGTCCAACACTAGCAGTGTCAGGGTCAGTATTCTAATGCAGGATTTATTCTTCTCTTAGGTTATACTATTATATATTTAAAGAGTAACACTACTGGATTGCGTTACAACAAAAATACTTCAGTGTTCCTCAAAGTCTTACGGTAGTTGCCAAGTCTCAWGCAAGATGTCACGGAAAGTAAAGAAGTAAAAGTAATAAAATATTTCTATCAAGACGAGAAAATATAATATAATTCAAATGATGTCAAAGATATTATATGGCCAATCGGCCTTTAAAACGGCCGTCGTGTTTTAGATTTTTCATATATTTAAAATGAGGCGACTTCAAAAGTATCCATTCGCAATCCATTTCCATCCCCTTGATGTTAAGATGAAATCTTGCAATATCTCCATTCATAGAGCGTAAAAGGATAATAAAGAGTAAGTTTTTGCTTATATTACAATGTATTTTTATTTTGAAACATAAACCAAAGTTCGCAAAGGATGCCGGTTGATAATGGCCATTTTTAACTAATCGATAATTCTTCGTATGCAAGTTACGTCACAGCGGCCTAGCCTCCGTAAACAGACATTTTTTTCTCCCGCAGGAGAGAATCGAACCGCTAAAAATGTCTGCTTACGGAGGCCGACAGCCGCCCATCTTGGAAAAACTTTAACAAAGGCTATCTTATCAGTSGGGCTAGCCKTAKGCGATGCCMGACTTTAGTCCTACCTTTTCTTCAATCTATCTATGTATCTGTCAACGTCGTACATAACCCTCCCATGATGCTTTACGCGCTATAGACACAGCGACCCCGAATGATTTTCATCTAKAGTTCATTGCTATGTTAATTACAAATTCAAGGGAATATTCATTTAATCACAACATGTACAATATTACGCTAGCCCGACCGTCAMGTTATCGTCTAGTTAGTATCTTTTCTTCATTCCTCCAACGTGGCCGCCGGTCTTTTATCTTTTGAATCTTATGGAAGGGTTTAAAACAATCAATACCGAAAAATGCTGAAAGAATACTTGTTTATTAGCCCTAGTAGCTAGACACGAWAGAACGAATKGACTGTAAATGCGCTWCCGTGATGCAGATGACATTACATTTTTCCCGAAGGTACAAGTAGAATGCAAATAATATACATGACAGGAAGCCCTTCCTGAACGCCTTCAAGTTCTCAAATCATTAAGACAAAAAACTTTTCAAATAAATGGAAAAAGCAATTTATTGATGATAAATAATCTGTACATTGTTGTTGGTTTTTTGATAATTGTGTTGCAAAAAATCGAGCTTCACGCGGAAACTACACGCAGCAGTCGTCGACATTTGTACGTACAATTTAAAAGACAWAATTACTAAAATATCTTTTAAGCTATTTTTCAAGTATCCGTGCTATTATGGGAAATAGTATAACCTTTTTAAGATTATGATGTTTGAACTTTTGACACTTTCCAAAACTATATGTAAAGCTATTTTCCAAATATTCCTACTATGGGAAACTATCGAAAACAAAAGCTTTTCATGCACAATGTTTGYATTTCTGAAACTATGGAAACTATAATATGTAACCTTATCACAATCCACTCCTGAAATTAAGACACTTTCCAAAATTGTTTGTAAAGCTTTACAAAGAAATAAACGCGWATAAGAACCTGAAATTTTAGATATAATCACAATTGGTTCTTATAAAACTTGTACTTAAAGCAAATTTATTCTAAACAGGCTAAAAAACACAGAGATAGCGAAGCCTTTGCATCGAAGCGATACAGCAGTTGAGCGTGCAATGATAGATACATGTGAATGATATTGTATGTAGGTGTGAACAAAAGGTATCTAACACTGCAGGCTCAACTCCAGTCTCACTYTGATGCAAAGGCTTGGTTACCTTTCAAGATGGCGCTTGGAAATGCAAAATAGAGCATTAACCCTGGGTTAAACCTAAACCACCTTTGAGCAAACCAGGCAGACTATTTTAAAAATACTTGGGGAAAATTGTTTTTTTGTTTTTTTAACCACAAACGTAAGCTTTAAAAAGACAAAAATATGATCTTAATTCAGCAGTTTCTACATTACGCTTTACAACAATTCTACAAATAAGAAGCTAACCAGATTTTAGTCTAAATAGATTCTTGTATGGATGGTACATATAATGAAAATTATAGACCTGAAGCTTACGCCATGCATGTACCGTATATGCAATGCATTCTAGGATATGTTTGGGACAGAACATGGTGGAAACTGATCATGGTGGAAACTGATCATGGTGGAAACTGCAACTGTGGACACCTTTTTATGTTCGACGTTTTGAGCTGAGCACAATCAATCTTTTTTTGAAGCTTTTTTTCCAAGAATTCCTGCAACTATAATAGACGACCCTTCTTCTAGTCATTTGCCAAAAAATATAGCGCTCCTATCCAGGCGTTCCCGCGACTGGAGTCCATAACCGACCCTGCATCTCTCATTAGATCCAGGGACGCTTAAAGTAAACACGAAAAGAAGAAAAAAAAAAAACAATGTCCTGCACAGCCTCATGAGCTTGGTAGCCTGTCAACAGGGGTAGAGAAGACAAAATCCGTAGGAAAGAGTTCCCGAGCCCGAGGGTAGAGTAGTCGATACGAATGACGTATTGTGACGTCAGCAACACCAGCAATATCGCCAATTTCTGGAAAACAAAAGAATTGATATCAAAATGTCCAGCGCATGACCGAACGTCGCTCTTCGCTGTCAACTGACTCGTACCTAATCGTCTCGACCTTTTCTCCTTCCCTTGATTCACTGCGCGGTAGAGCAAGAGAGACGACTGGGGACGAGTCCAGGTTGTCAATGTTCTATTCAATAACAATCTCGAGCCCAGAGTCTTCACGGCTAATGTCAGCGGTATGCTGACGCCGGGGGAATCAAATGAGGTCATTTTTTCTGCTTTTAGAGCATTAAAATGACAAAAAATGAAGAAGGTTTAGTACTCAACTCAAAATAGGAACGGTATTTAGAGCTTTTTAACAAAAATGTGTGAAAACAAGAGTGGCTTACGCAATGAAAGTATGATTTTTTGGACCAATGACGCGCGCTCTCTTCATTTTCAGTCAACACTCCGGATACGAGATTGATTCAATAATCCTACCTTTTTGTGAGCGTTTCTCTTCAGATGCTTGAGAAGCCATGTAAATAGCAGCGGCTGCTATAGATATAGGACTGCGTCTGTAAAAAAAAAAAAAACAAACAAAATAATTCGCATAAGTCACTACTAACAATATAGCTAAAAATAGCTATTTAGCTACCAAGAGTATTTAAGTGCAAACACTAAAAGCGTGAAAAACACTGACCAAAGTGGAAAGGTTTGAGAGATCTAAAACGCATTGTTTCCTTTTGTGTCTATCTGACAATCACACTTTAAGGTGGGATCCGTCATCTGCAAAATGCCGAATCGGTTTATTTGATGTTCGACTCATAACTTTATTGAAGTTAAAAGTTTAAACAACTTCTACAGAAATCATTTACCTATACTATGATATTTTCGAATTGTAATTTTTGCAAGTAATTAGTGATTTACACGCTAATTAACATATGTATTTTCACAAAATCTCCACTTTAGAAAAAAATATTTTGATGAAAAGTTTAGGATCCATTTATATAAACATAAGACATTCATATAAGTTAGCGACCATAATTTCTTCTGTACTTTTTTTTTTAATTTCGGTTAACGGTTGACTATCTGCTATTCTGGCTGAGTCCAACACTTTCAAAACCGGAGACTGAAAATCCAGCTTCCTGTTGTGCTTTTAGAATTTCAGACAAAAACCGAAAACTACTGAGTACTGTATCCACACAAACAAGCCATGTTTTCAGCAAAACATTTCAAGAAGTACAAGATGAAGCTAAGCCTTCTGCGCTATAAATAATACCATTGAGTGCACTGGTATTTTAGACCTGTGAAGTCATTTATAAACTCATTAATATTCATAAGGCAAAACACATGAAGAGAGTTGCAAGTAATGTTTACAACATGAGCGGCCGTGTTGTATGGGATTTTGCAATCTCGAGCCGAAGGCGAGAGATTGTAAAGCCCATACAACACGGACGCGAATGTTCTAAATTACTTGTGTTTAGGTGTATACATTCATAATCTATACTAAAAACTTAAAGATAAAATTGAATTTGGCTGAGAAAATTAGATTTGAAGTTTATGCAAATCAAGACAGTTTTGTATCAAATATTACAACACTCTTYACGGTTGTGATTTCTATTGTGTTTTCCTCATTAATTATTCATGAGTTTTACAAATCCACATACAGAGATCGCCCGCTCATATTGTATATATTATATAACGTCACCTTTTAGATGGAAAAATGCATCATGTTAAAAAAAACTAGGAGTCAGGTAAAATGAATTTTATCGTTTGCCGACAATGCTCGAAAAAAAAACAACAAACAATAATGGTTTAAATATTTTTCTTCAATTCTGATGAATATTCGCATATAGGTGTTTACAGTCGATAAAGTCATTGACTTGTTTTTTTTTATCTTTTGAACCAAAATTTCTCGACTGTGGATGCAAACCTTTTCCCCGTGAAGTTTAGAATATAAACAAGACATGTTTTTAAACATGTCTTGTTAAAAATTTAAAAATTATTAGAAATTTCAAAAATAAGTTGTATTCGTAGCAGTGGCCCTTGAAATACTATGGAGTGAGTGAACTCAAAGGTCGAAGTATATAAAGGGATACTTGTTGTCAAAAAAAACAGCATAAAAACACTAAACAAAATGACTGCAGTTCGAACAATCCCATAATCCATCTCGCCGAATGCATGACGTCATTACGGTTCACTGCATCCACAGGGGGGGAGGGGGGGGTAACATTTTAGTATTCTACTCACCCAGGGACTAAATCTAAGTCCACAGCTTTCCGCGCGATGTGAGTAGCTCCACGTTGCACACTCGTGGGGAGGTTGAGATTTGAACAAAATCGCGACTAAAAGAAACAAATCAGTTATTAACAATTTCCATTTTCGAATTCAAAGCGAATAACCGATTACAACATTTTCTCGTGCTTTTTTTTTGTGTGTTTGGTAAGTTCTTTGCGTAAGAGAATCTGCTGTCAARTAAAGCAGCGGTTTTTCATCATGAATTCGAAACTGGACTCATTGTGATATATATCATTTCTCGGGCAAACTATATGAATACTTACCATAAAGTCCCCAGATGTAATGAGATCGACACTTGTTTCAAGGTGTTTAAGAATAAGYTTGAAGCATCGGCCGATTTCTTTCTTGGATATTTTACTTATTGCGCATATTTCTGCGTTACAATGGAAAAAATATATAAAACTATATTCAAAAAACGGGGCATGATACACCATGCAGTCAATGCGGTCGTGTTTTAGATTTTTCATATAGTGAAAATTTGCAATCCGTTTCCATATCTCACAATATCACTATTCACTATATAGCATAAAGTGATAATGAAGAGTACGCTTTTGCTTATGTTACGATGTATTTTTATTTTCAAACATAAATGAGAAGTAAAGCTATGCCGGGGTTCCATGGCCCTCAAAAAATWTGCGACTTGAATGATTGTAACCCGGGATTTGTAAACCAAAATCTTTACCGGGTGTTTGTACCACCGGATAYATATCTCGGTAWTCTCTGTTACGAGATTTRCMTCTCGCGATCCGACATTCTGAGATTYGTATTTCCTATGACTCAATGGGAAAGATGGAAAACGATTACCGAGTTTCATCAAGTTTGTAGTGCATAAGCCTTCATTAGCATCCTAAGATCAGAATCCCGATTTTTTGCACCCCGATATTTGCACCCTAGGATATTGGTAGAGGAAATTTCGTACCCTTTAATGTCCGGGGAACACCCTCCTGCCGGCAAGCGATGTACAGACAAGCCGACGCGATGGCATCGTTGCTYCGTCCTTTGAGACTCTTCTGTTCATGAACTTGTTTGAATAACGTGTTCGCTCGGTCCTAGAACATATCAAATATTAGTATCTACCTAGTCTCCTCGCAGCCATTCTTAGTGGCGGGCTCCCTGTCCCGCTCTACTAGTCTCCTCGCAGCCGTTCTTAGTGGCGGGCTCCCTGTCCCCCGTTTGTGGGGCGGGGGACAGGGAGCCCGCCACTAAGAACGGCTGCGAGGAGACTAGTATCTACCAAACTATATCAGGTTTCCCACTCATCTTTAAAAGTAAAATTCCCTGACTTTTCCCNAAGTGCCAAATTTGACGAAAAAAGGCCAGATTTCAAGGCTTTTTGAAGAAATGCGGCGACATTAAAAACAATCCTAAAAACCTAGCACCGGATTTAAGAAATAAAATATATATGCGACCTTTCTGGGTATTTTTCATGAGAAAATTCGAAAATCCAATCATGTATTTTTGCCCTTGAAGAGTTGAGGTTGAGCATTAAAATAGTATGGCGATCCATGTTTTCACCACAGTTCGCTCCAAAAAACTGGGCCTCGCGCATAACTTATTTTGTTCATAAAAAACCTAGCACCGGATTTAAGAAATAAAATGTATGTGTGACATTGCTGTGTATTTTTCGTGAGAAAATTTAAAAATTCAATTATGTATTTTCGCCTTTGAAGAGTTGGCGTTGCTTCGCATCCGTTTGCGTTTCGGGATTCCTGTCCCGACGATGAACGGATGCAAAGGAGACTACTTCTGTAGGCACAAGCAACAAAAATCAAACTTGAATTTTTCAAATTATTGCTTTCTTATTATATGTTTAAAATGTAGTCAAAACTATGCAGTTTTGTGTTAATTCAATATTTGAAAAATTTATATCAGTCAGTGAACGTAACTGTGATATTATATATATATATATATTATATATACAGCCTTTTGCAAAAATTATGAGAATTGTCTAAATATCTAAATATCATAATATCCATATCCATATATTGTCCGGAACACGCGGGTTTGCTAGAATAATTCATTGTTGACATCGAGAAAATGTTCAGAACTAGGGATAAGTCTGTCGCCAAAAAAAAACAACTAAACTACAAAGACAAGGGACTAAGGTCATCGCGCGGGATTACCCATCATGCACTCGATATTATGATATTTAGATATTTCGACAATTCTCATAATTTTTGCAAAAGACTGTATATATATATATATATATATATATTATATATATTATATGTACATATACTTACATTTCTAGAGGTGACTTTGCTATTAATAGTATTTAATGGTCAGATGATGATGTTAATGAGGTCGATCGACGACAAAATATTAATTAACTCCATTGTATTATATTTCATGAAGTAAATAAATAAATTACATGCATATATACATGCATGCATGGATGCATGCATGAGTGAGCCTGGACAATAATCCAAGCAAATGTCACCCGATGTATGACAATAAGTTTCATTTGAAATGCCAGGAAAATTCGGCAAAATTCCCTGACTTTTCCCTGACTTTTCCCTGACTTTTTGATAAATTGTATATTTCCCTGACCAAAATCAAAATTTCCTGACAATTCCCTGACCTTGAAAAAAAAAATCAAATTGCACTGACTTTTACCTGACCCTGGGAACCCTGTATATTGACTACCACAAATCCAGGATTCTGATTGGCTGTCGAAGTGCGGTCTAGCTTCATTTCATGTTGGAGCATGGATGCATCGAATTAAGTGCAAACAGTCGAAACAAATTTGTCTTATAGTTTTATATTGTAAAGGCCGATCCCGATTCATTGTCCTACCTCCCTAGTTACTGTTGCTACGTCGGACAAGCGAAAATATTCCTTTATTTTTGAGCATTGTGGGAAAGATACCGATTGCTATGATATGTAGGA